CCTGGAGGTTTGCGTCTCACTGTGGTTTTTACTCTCACAGGTATGGATATGAGTTGCACAGTTCAATTCACAGTGCCTTTCAAGTTGGTCTCATATTAATATAGCAGGATGTTGGAGATTTATTTTTTTTTAGTATTTCAGTTGAAGGCTCATCTTATATGAAATGCTATGCTTTTATGCTTTGAGTTTTTTTCCAGTTGTACAATTTTGGTGTTTTTCTAATGAACTCCCCTTGCCATTGCTTTTAGTACCAATGTGCAAGGAACTAATTATATAAATCAGTACAACAAAATAAACCTCTTTCACAGACCTGTAATTTTTCCAAGATAGATACCGGTAAGAAGCAAACTTTCAACAAAGGAATGATGTCTTGGAAAATAACTGATGAAATAACATAGGGCTATAAGTATTTAGCTTAATGCTTAAGTTCAACATATCTTCTCAGAAATAATTTTTAGTTTATGTAACTGGAAACATTACCTCCCCTAATTCTGAAATGCCAAATGCAAAATCCCACCTGTTCATCCTTTCTTCCATGCTTCTGTCAGGTGCATCAGTTGGGGCTAACTGTCACAATGTCACTTCCCGAATTAATTTGTAAATAGACCAAGGTACTTTCCAGCAAGGAATAAAATTAACAGTCTATGTTGCTTATAAATGGCATATGGAAAATGTGCCCTACTTCTGCTAAATATAAGGAACTAAATGAATAGTATGCAGATGATACAGTGGCACTGGAAAATACTTAATTTGAAATTATTCACTATAGTACCACTGTCTGTTTATGCCATGAAATCTCATCAAATTCCTTGATTGACAGTATTCTCCTACCCTTTCTAACACTTGTTATTTTACAATAAAAATAGTGCTTTCCAGGGGAGTGTCCACCTAGGAAATGCAGATGGCTTTTAAGCAGTGAAGCTTAATAATTAAGAATTATGCAAATAATCCGCCTTTAGAAACTACAGGTATTTTTAGCTAGTTTGTAGGCAAAATTTTGATTTATCTTTAATACTGAAGTTCTTGGTGGAAATTAAGCTGCAAACAAAATCAGAAGCCTTATTGCAAATCTACAGAGGAGGGGGCATATTCTATCCTGTGACCCACCCCCTTGTGACTCTCGCTGCGTTATCTGAGGGCTGTGAATGGCTCCAAAGGTCTGAGCCTGAATTCCCTTGGTGGAGGCACTGCTTTAGGCTTTTGCATGCAAACCAAGACTTACAACCTCCACATCGCAAGATGTGGAGGGTAATGGTTTTATGTGAATAGCAAAACTGTAACTGAACAACTTTAATTGACTGAAAACAGACATCGTTCAGTATAGTGGGATGGTCTCGCTTCTGCATTCTTCAGGTAAAAGTCAAAGCCACACACACATATTCGAGAATAAGCTAACTCTTATGAATGGGGTGGGAAAAGGACCATGGCTAATGAAAAACATTTATTCTCATAGTGTTCAAAATCTGATAGAAACAATCTCTAACATCTTCAAAAGGTAAAAACCAAACCCTCAAGTTGCATCGGTAGATTCCTGGAGTCTTACATTTTATAACATGTTTGATTCAGTGTTGCAGTGATTGGCCCACGAACACAGTGTTTGCTTTATATACTTGATTTTTCAAGTGGCACCAGTTTTGATTTTTTTCTCTTTTCAGAAGTTACCATGATTCAAAGGCTAGCAATTGCAAAAAGTTTCAAAAGGAGGTCCACTCTTCAGAATTAGTACACATTTTCAACTAAAAATACATCCTTCACCTCAGTCTTAGTAATTTTTGGACAAAGGACTGCTTTATTATTACAGGACTGAGTTTTAGAAGCCATGTAAGAAAAGACTTTGAGGGTATAGAAAGCCTCAACCAGCAATTCATAGAATGGCATAGACTGGACGGGAACTTAGAGATCATCTAATCCAACCTCCCTGTCATGGGCAGGGACGCCTCTCAACTAGATCAGGCTACTCAAGGCTCTGTCCAACTTGGCCTTGAACACCTCCAGGGAGGGGGCATCCACAACCTCTCTGGGCAATTTATTCCAAAGTCTTACCACCTTCATACTGAAGAATTTCTTCTGAAGATCTAATCTAAATCTGTTCTCCTTCAACTTAAACCCATTTCACCTTGTAAAAAGTCCCTCCCCAGCCTTCCTGTAGGTTCCCTTCAGGTATTGGAAGGCAGCTATTAGGTCCCCCCGAAGTCTTCTCTTTTCAAGGCTGAACAATCCCAGCTCCTGCAACCTGTCCTTGTAGCAGAGGTGCTCCAGCCCCTGGATCATCTTTGTGGCCCTCCTCTGAACACGCTCCAACAGATCCGTGTCTCTCTTATGGTGGGGACACCAGAACTGGACGCAGTATTCGAGGTGGGGTCTCACAAGAGCAGAGGAAAGGGGGAGAATCACCTCTCTTGACCTGCTGACCACGCTTCTCTTGATACATCCCAGGATGCGGTTGGCCTTCTGGACTGCATGAGCACACTGCCGGCTCATGTTGAGCTTCTCATCTATAAACACCCCCAAATCCTTCTCTTCAGGGCTACTCTCAACCCACTCTGTGCCCAGTTTGTATTTGTGCCTAGGATTGATCCGACTCAGGTGAAGGACCTTGCATTTTGACTTGTTGAAGCTCAGGCAGTTTGCACTGACTGAGTGCAAACTTGCACTCAATGCAGTTTGCATTTCTCAAGCCTATCAAGGTCCCTCTGGATGTCATCTCTTCCCTCAAGTGAGTCCATGTCACCACACAGCTTGGTGTCGTCGGCAAACTTACTGAGGGTGCACTCAAATTCCTTCTGTTTTACCCAGTAGTTTCACCAACTTTTCACTAGCATACATGGAAACAAACTGTTTCAGTCTGATCTTATGTCATGCTACAACTAGTAGTATTTAAAAAAAAAATAAAAAGGTGGAAAAGTTGAGAAACTGAACTGTTTGTGTTTAAGATAACATCTGCGAGCCTATCAATTTTCAGATTAGAAGAAAAGGCATTTTTCTTACCCTTAATGAACATTTTCTTTATTTCGAAGCCACTCTGCACTCTTTGGCCTGCACAGTACTTTATGGAGCTCTTTCTGATAGTTCTCAGAAGAATGTATTGGAGATGTTAGTACTACCAATGGGATACTGGGAGGAAAGACATGAAAATGAGTGAACTCCCCTTCGGAAGGAGGGTTAGCATATGAATACTGGATCGGAAAAGAGAGTTAGTTTAAACAGTTTTATGTGGAATCAAGTTTTTGTTGAAGTCATTTAAGTTAGCCACAAAAGTCGTAATCTAATAAGTTGGAGTTATTTCTGTTATTTCTTGTTTTATGGTAATATCCACTGTGGCCAGTTTAATAGCAATGAGACTTTAAGCGCTTTCTTTCCTATTATGTGATACATGCAATTAAAAGGAGCAGTCAGACCTAGACTACTTTATTTAGTTTATGAAAACCACAAAACATAGGAGAAAAATAGCAATGTTACAAACATGTCAAAAAGCCTAAATTCTACTCTCTCGTAATTTTGATTTAAAGAATGCAGTGAGTCTCTAGTTACTAAGCCCAATTAGTGCACAATTTTTCAAAGGTCCTTAAAGTGCAAACTTACGGTCAAGACTTTATTCATCTGCATACTTAATCCACTGTGCTAGAAGTAATACTGAATTTTCAGATTCAAAGTTAGACTTCCTGTGAACTTGCTGGAAAGACTGGACAAAGAGCTGAAATAATAAATAAAAGTCAACTATATCACACGTAGTTCGGCCTGCACTGATCTTTCTGTTGTACTGGTCATTGCTTTGTTGATCAGCATGTTTGGTTTGCTGAATCAGCAACTTTTTCAGTATCGTCAGTGTCCTCAGACATCCTCCTGTTCATACATGAAGTAGACTTGACTCAGTTTTTGAGAAGTCATTGCTAGACTTAGTTTGGATCTCCTTTGTGTTGTTAGACCCTCACTTGGCATGTTGCTCTATTTCCTTCCCCTCGTCCTGTCTGGTGCTTGCAGCAATAAACATCTGGTGAGTCAGCTGGGAGATGAGATTTAGCAATGAAGTGCAGTACCTTAAGTCTTACTTGAGGTATTTCACACAAAGAGGCTTCTTAAATGGGAAAGAGGGAAATAGGGCTACTTAGTCTCCATAGAGCAGTGCCTCCTAATAGGAGGCTGGAGCTTTAACGAAGGTCAGAAACCTGTGAAGTGGTGAGTAGAGAGAAGTAGGGTGCTTGGACATCCTCCTCCTCCTACATCAGTACCCTTAACAACCGGAGAAGCAGCAGGCAGTAGGAACCCGTAGTAGCATGTGAGGGTCACCCCTGCAGGTCTGAAATACATTTCTAATACCATGTCTACACGGTTGTGATGCATGGAGAGGAAGGGGTAAGTTCTCTGTCAGGGAGAAGAGGAGTTTCTCACCTTTCCAGCTTTGTGAGAAAGGCGTGCTGCGAGCAGGTAACAAGCTTTGGACACAGCTTCTGACCATGACTGTTAATTACAGGGTGCTGTCCCTGCCCTGTGAAGCAAATGAAGTCTGTGACCAAACTGACTGCCAGT